TCGGGGCCGGGGCGTGAACCGGCGATCTTCGGATCACAAGCCCACCTCTCTAACCTCTGCGCCACCACTCCCCATACATACCCTTACTGTTTGTAAAACAATGGAATATTTCCCTCAGCAGGCACTGTCAATACAGAAATAAATCTTTAATTAATCTCGAAATGCAACAAATTCTGTGCAGTAAAAAAAAAATGAAAAAATATAAAACAACTGTCTCTTTTCAGGGAAATATTGTGTGTTGAAGGTTGTTTTGTCTAAACATCTTAAGAGTGAGTCCGGGACCTTTTTGCTTCCAGCTGAGCTGTGGATGTCTCCCGCGCACCAGCAGCAGATGTGAATGCACAATGGAAGAGGCCCACGCGCTGAATCATTAAGTTCAATTTGAATAACAGTCGCATGTCTGACGCGTGCGAGAAATCTCCCAGCTTTCCCAGGCTTCTTATCCATGGGCCTGAATGGGCGGGGGGTAAAAACCGTTATCTGGTCTCTTCCAGTTCACCGAGGATTCAGTTCCCCACCATCTGAAGGACTCCCACCACTTGATTAAACTCTGTGGAGCAAAGAATATTCACACTCCAAGGTGAATTTGATCATTTTGTATAATTTTTTAACAAAAATTGACCTTTTTTTTTTTTTTTTACATAAATACAAATTTAAAAGATCAGTTTAGAGAGTTGTGATTATAGCACTGCTTTCCAGCTAACTTGGGCCTTATTGATATGACTAAACCTATAAAACTTATAAAAGTCAATCAGTTTAAACAGGCAGAGGGGGGGCAGTGGTTTAGGTCTTTGTGACATCAGTAACTGGCAGCTATTTCAGGTTCTTTAAAGCCTGTTAGAGACATTATTGAACACTTTCTCTGGGGAGTTGTAACTACCAGGCCCCTCATGGGAATTACCCCTCCTCTTATTCCCACCAAAAAAAAAAAAAAAAGTCTATGGCAGTTGGACCAGTGTAACAGATGGGACCAAGAGGCACGCGTCAGGCACGAGCCCACTGCCTCCATCCCCCACCCTTCTTCATCCGTTGAAGGAGCCTGAGTGGAAAATTCAATCAGCCACAACCTGACTGTAAATAACAAAGTAGTGCTGCAAGTTGAGCTTTTTTCAGATATCACCAAAATTACATTTATTCACCATCATATTCTACTCATAAAATATATGAGGTGTTTTAACAGCCTGTATACGTTTTAAGTTCAAGTCAAGTTTATCGTCATTTATATTTTAGAGGGGTTTTTTTTCTCAGGCAGGAAAAAAAAATGTCTGATGGGAATTATTTTTCGCCTCCAACATGTGTCCACAACATGTGTCCAGTTAACCATTGTTTTTGTCTGTCCAAACAGGTCTCACTTGTAAATGAGTCTTTGAGGCTCAATGCAATTTATCTATTTAAATAAAGGTTGAATGAATGTCATTCACATCACATGTGGTACATGAGGTGGAATGAAATTATGTACCAGTACTCAGGGTCCCACCAACAACAGCAAAAATATAAAGTGTAAAAAAGAAAACAGTATGTAAGGATCTGAGATATACGCTAACACTAATAATGTAAAACAATACGGCGTAACAGCAGCAGCACGAACATGAGTCTGGGGTGAGCAGATGGGCATGAATGAACACATTGGTGAAGCAGTTTAGATTCATAAACTTAAAAAGTCTCCAAACTCTCTATGAAGTGGACAAAAATGCAGTTATTCTGTTTAAGAAATGTGCTAAAACCATTAAATGTGATCATCTGTAACAGCTTGGCGGCAAACAGAGGTTTCAAAAAGATGAAATGCTGACTTGACAGGTGAGCGTATAGATACTACAGCTGTTATATTTAGACCAAGGGAAAACTGACTTGAAAAAATACATATATTTAAGGTCAAATGTGCCAGCAGCTTGCTTATTAAAAAATAAATCAAAACCTGCTGAGTATTTACAGTATTTCTTGGTATATTTGTTTTAATGTTAGGTATAAAGAGTGCCGGCCCAAGCCTCCATGGGGCCCTAAGTGAAATTTAGTTTGGGACCCTCTTCTGCTAATAATGTGGATTATTGCAATCAACAGTCAGATGATCAGATCATTCACCCACCTAACATAAACTCATTGCAACTCTGACAGCCCTGTTTACATTATCCTATATGTATACATCTAGTGGTACTAAAAGTAACAACAACAAAAAAATCACCAGTATGCAGTGTATTTTACAACAAACAGTGTCATCTGGTTTATTATCTTTGGTTCCAAAGAACTGCAACAGAAAATGTTCAAATAATTTGTAGTGCAAGATCAACAACAAACAGATAAAATATCTTTGATGCATAAAAATAAATTAAATTGTGCAAAAACAGACAAAATAAAATAAAAAAATAAAATCTCAAATAATGTAAATGAACAATTACTTGAAACCACGTAAAATGGTTAAAAAAATTAATTTAAAGTTGAACAATTAGTTCTTAAAACTATATAAATGTATGCAACAATTTGCAAAAGCTGAACTTAAAATATTAAATAGAATCATACAGAAATCATTACTAAAAAAAAAACTAAAATCAATTCCACTTAGGGGGCCCCCTAGTGGCTCTGGGGCCCTAAGCAGCCGCTTGCTTATGCCGCTCCTGGGCATAAATACACAATAATGGAGGGCTTGGATGTATTGAATCAACGTAAAGTGTCACAGCATCAGATTTAAAAGCTGTGAAATTACACAAATGTAAAAATTACATATAACAGCTCAGAATCAATTTAATGAAGTGAATATATATTAATCATAAACAAATTAACAAGCTCATCCTATCTAGAAATTAGGAGACGAAAATAACACACAGGGAGAAAAAACAATTATTTGCTGACTTGAAATAACTGCAATTTTGTTTCTATTTTTATTCAGTTTGATTTTTATATTATGGTATTGAACAGTGTGTCAGTGTATTTCACAGTTCTTAGTTAGAACCAGATTGATTATATTGCAACATGTGTTTTAACCATAAAGTAATCTGGTTGTAAAAGGAGGCCGATGAAGGATTATTTATACCAAACAAAGCACGTGTCACATTCTAAAGCCTATTTATAGTTTTAGTATTAACAAGTGCTCCTCATTAGTCCAGGAGTTGGTTTTACAAACGGCCACCAGATGGACCTCTACGCAAACTGTGTCCAGTGTTGCTGGTTTTCGTGCTAAAAGTAGAACCCAGTGAACACTGAAACGGTCTGATGTGGGATTTAGCTGTGACTCGCACCAACAGGATTACAGAACTTCTCTCCTGCGCGGCGGAGTTTCCCGCAGCTTTGCGCGCACTGCTCCTTTAATTTCTGAGCGGATTTTCAGGGAGAGCAACTTGTAACAGGCTCAGTGATCCTCCCCCTGATGGATTATTTAACAGGCGCTCAGTCCCATCTGCTAAAGCAAGAAATAACACAGAGACTCTCAGGTAGGGCAGTGTAGGAGACTTTCATAAGGAAGGTAAAAAAAACAACTGTGAACAAATTGAAAGATTTGGACATTCAGGGAGAGTCACCAGAGGTGGGGGGGTCTGCGTCAACAGGAGGTGATGATTGATTAATACTGACAAGGTTAGTTTATCTCTGAACGATGGAGTTTTATCTCGACGTGTAAAGTTGCCCCCCCCCCCCCTCACCCCCACTCCTGAGACGGATTCTTGCTTCGGATCATCCATGGGACAACCTTACAGACATGACCCCCGGCTTCATTAACACAATGCGGCTGACCCCATCCACCGGGTGAACCAAACGGGGGTGGGGGGGTCGACGTGAGGAAAGAGTGTCCCAGCCCGCAGCAGCGCAGTCATGGTGGTGTTGGACAGCGACAGGACGCTGCTTGCTGCGAGGCAAGGAGACGTGCAGAGCCTGAGAGCGCAACTTGCGGCAAAAGCGCTCAACAGCGACATCAAGGATGCGCTGGGCGCGTCTCCGGTCCACCACGCTGCCCGGGCCGGGAGGCTGAACGTTCTGCGGTTCCTGGTGGACGAGGCAGGGCTGCCCGGGAACTGCGTGGCGAACAACGGTGCCACGCCGGCGCACGACGCAGCGGCCACCGGGAACTTGACCTGCTTACAGTGGCTGCTGACGCAGGGTGGATGTCGGCCGGAGGTGAGAGGCGCTGAAGTGTAGAAAATATGCAACTAATGCTTTCTCTGATTCCTTTAATATTCCATTCCATCATGGGATTTACCTGTATAAATAACGGTTGATTGATTTAAGCTCTTATGAGACTTAACAAACACTTAAAGTCCATTCTGGTTTAAATTAAATCATCACAAACCGCCTCTAAGGATGAAGTTTGTTGTCACGCTCAAGTTTTACAAGTTGTTGTTGTTTTTGTTCATAAGTTAATGAGGTATGTGATGTGTTTTCAACAATGATTCAAATCTAGGACACCATTAATTGAAAAATGAGCAAATATTTTCAAGCCGAGGGAAGGAAGGGTGCAAAGGGTGCAACAGCACCCATCAATGGATGCTAGAAAACATGCATGATTAAAGACACAAGTAAAAAATAATAATCAGTTTCAAACCAACAAAACAAATCAACAGTGATTTTAGTGCTTATGTTTAAATTCCAATTCTAATATGATATTAATAAATTGTTATTGGATATCTTTGGGTATTTTGTCATCCATTAGAAGTGATAATATTTAGCTCAGTATTGTTGGTTTGCTCTCAGCACCAACATCTTCCCAAAATTATAAACATCATTTACTTACTGGTAAAAAAAAAATCTGGGTAACTTCATCCATCAACGCATCATAACTGATGGCATCGTCACCTTTTAGCTGACACCATCAAACAAATCACATCCTCCATTTAAAAAAAGAATCTAAATGCTGTTTTGGCTGCACACACAAAAAGTCAGGTTATAAATATCAGCTGTGGAAAATAGAAAATATATTAAAATTGAACTATAACTTTCTGATTAAACTCATTTAGCTGCATTTCCTCATGTTCCCGATGAGCTATGCGAAACTGGATTTGCAACCATATCCTTTCCATGGCACAGTCAGTGTATGACGAGTGTCACGAATAAAACTATGGCAGTTTATTGTGAGTTGAAAAAGGATGCTCAGTGCCATGATGATTAAACGAACCCAACCTCGTGGTTCCTGGATTGCACTGTGTGTCCCTGGTGCATGCAAATGGTTCTCAGCCCATAGCTTTTCATTTCAAGGGGTGGAAAAGCTTATTGGAATTATTGATTGGATTTATTATGAAAATGTGGGTGTTTTATCCAACACAACACAAAAGCTGCATAGGAGCTGTTGACACAGTGCAAAAAATATTTTAAAACATATATCACACTAATCAGCATGCTTTCTAATATTTTGAATAAGCACTAGTTAAAAATCCAGGTAGAGAAGCTACAAACTTTTACCAAAGTAAAAAAATAACAATGACATAACAGATGTAGGGAATTCAGATACGGTGACAAAATTAAAAACAGAATAAATAAGGGGATTGGGAACGTTTAAAAATGAACAATAGGAAAGAACAGCCAAACAAGGCCCAGGCGTAAAAACAAAGTGTAATGAATACATCAAACGAATATTAAAAAGAGGGAGACAGAAGACAATGTGCCACATAAAACTGAGATTATAAGCTAACAGAATTCACAACACCAAGGCAGGCCATTTAGAGTATGTGTCATGTGACTGTGAATGATGTGTTGCAACAAAGTATTTACTTATAGTCTTATTTGTTATATCTGTGCCATAAAGATGTTTATGAATAGCTTGCTCTGAGGAAACTCGGATTTGAGCAGGAGGGAAGTCTGACGCTTTCATGCTGGGCACAGTTATGAGCTTATAGTCTTCTGGTTCCCACGCTGTGTAGTTGCTGTTGTTACTATTTGGCAAGTAAATTAGAATTTCAAATTGTAAACTTAGCTAACTGTCAGCTTTCTGCAAGAATTTATAAAACACCTTTATTATTTTGTTTGTTACTCTTAAAGAAAAAAGGAGGATTCTCTTACAGTTCTGCACGTCTTGTTTGTTTCACAGGACAGAGACAGCTCTGGTGCCGCAGTTCTGCACCTTGCATCCCGCTTCAGTCACCATGAGCTCACTGACTGGCTGCTGAAGAGCGGCGAGGGAGACCCCGGGGCCTCCACCGATACAGGTGCTCTACCTGTTCATTATGCTGCTGCCAAGGGAGACCTGGCTTCTCTGCGACTGTTACTGGGGCACAGCCCAAAGTAAGTCTTGTCTGCACATCTGTCTGCTTTATTATGTGGAGTGCTTTGTTTATTTTTTCTTATCTGATGTAATGACACTAATATGAATGATTTTAGTGACATTTTGAGGAAAAACTACAAATGCTTTTGCTTAGACTGACAACTTTACCACTGACCTATTTGTGGGGTTAAACCCTCATTTAGGTACACTAGGCTTAAAATGCTGTTTTAACAGGCAAGTTGTGTAAACATTTGCCTGTGTCCAGCTGTCATTACACAGTAAATTGGCCACAAATACTAAACTGCTAGTTCTATGGCTGTCTTATGGATTACAAGTTACAATGCTCACAGTCTTTCAGCAAATATTTGTATTCTGTGATTTTATAGTATTGAACCTCTGCTTCAACTTGGCACTAACTAATATAAATGAGAAAGAGTTTAGTACTGCAGTCTTATTCATACTTTACTGCATGAAGCATCCATGTTAGATTTTAAGGTTACAGCTGGTAAAGTTTCTCCAACTTTTTAAAGCATCTGACACAGTGAGGGAGTTCTCATTTCAAAGTTTACTATAGTTTCTCACTGGGAACAGAGAAATGTAAAAGGAGGAGTTCAGCTCTTTTTAAGTGGAGTTTTGAGTAGAAGCTATGAACAGTCAGTATGTCACCTGCGGCAGATATCAGTCTGAACAACGTCAGTTTGTAGGAGCAGGCAGAGATTCTCATAGAGGACTCAAGCTGACAACTAGTCAGGCAGGGAACTCTTCCTTTAGAAGGATTAACAACTAAAACAACTCCATCCATCCATCCAACCATCCCTCCATCCATTCATTATTTTTTACCTGCTTCTTCCTTTTTGAGTCACAGTGGTCACTGGTTCCCATGCCCAGCAGTCACTGTGCAAGAGGTGGGGACACCGTGGACGGGTCGCAAGTCCATCACAGGGACACATGGAGACAAACAACCATTCACTCTCTCACTCTCACCTAGGGACAATTTAGAGTTACCAATCAGCCTAACATGCATGTTTTTGGTCTGTGGGAGGAAACCAGAATACCCAGAAAAAACCTATGCACAAGAGAACATATAAACTCCACCCAAAAAAGTCCCTGGCTGGGATTTGAGCCGACAACCTTCTCGCTGAGAGGTGGTAGCTCTGCCAACAGAGCCACTGTGCCACCTCAGCACTCTACTAGATTTCTACAAAGCTAATTAAACAAATGGCTTTATGGAGACTAATCAGTGCTTTAGATTACATTCATACACCACTGGGTCACACATCGGAGGCAATGAGGGGTTCAATGTCTTGCCCAGGGACACTTCAGCATGGTGGAATCGACCCCCCAACTCTCCCATTGAAGGACGACTGCTCTAACCACTTAGCCGCCCCAAAGTAGTGAAAGAAGACAAAAACAGAGTATGCTGAAACATGTGTGTATTTTTATGTGGAAATATGTTTAAATACAGTTAAATACTTTGAAAAGTTTAAATGTTATAAAACCAAAAGTCAAGGCACCCTTATCCTGAATGAGCTACACGTTTTGTTGTATAGATGGATGTAATATGAAAAGTAACGAGAGTGCAAAAATGTACAAAAAAGGGAACCATTGTGTGAATGATGAATCAGCATAATAATCACACAGTTTGATGTAAGCACAAAGAAAACATACTTTAATTAAGGCAGCTGATTCAAGCTCGGCTTGGTCGTTTGGAGTTATTTTTATTGCTGACCTTAGCAGGATCAACAGATAATCCGGAGCTCTATACCTCCAATATTGTGTGGTTGCAGCCCAGACAGGTGTATACTCGCTGAAATTTTAATGAGCCCCGGGGACATGGACGCTCTCTGATAACTTGGCTCCATTCACTCCTCTGCTCCACCCCTCCCCCTGCTGCTGTTTACCTCCGTCTCCACGGCAACACGCCGAAGCACCAACTGGCTATAAGATAATGAGGAAAACAAATCCATTCGTATAGACAAGCTGCTAGGATCCAGCCGGAGGCGTTGTTTGGAAACGAACTTTACTGCAGCGACATGAACCACTTGTTTCAGTGATTATTACAGGCTTATAATCTGTATGACTGCCTTAGCTCCTAGTTGGTTCTGCGTGTAGAGTCACACAGATAACGTTTCAGATACATGAGCACTTTAGTAACAAGCAGTTTGAAACTAATGAGAGTGCGACTGCAAAGCTAAAAGTAAGTGGACCGGCAGAGAGTAAACAGTAAACAACACCTCAGAAGACCTGTGTGCCACCTTCCTGTTTGCAGACTCACCTTTAAACTTTTTATCGCACTGCTAATCTGAACACAGCAGCAGAAAAACACCAACCCTCCAACATCTGGACCAGCTAATTTATAGTCTTCCACAGCAAAGTGAAAGCAGAAAATAGTGGATTTGCTTGTGTGTGTGTGTTTTGTAGCTTTGTTTCCAGATATTTTGGTTTGTTAGATTTATGAACCACTTTTGAATCTATCTTGTTCACCAGTCCACCCCAGTGAGCCAGAACAAAAAACCTAATGTTCTGTGTTTGTGCCGATAGCCTCAATACATAAAGACGTGAATGAATGAGAGAGTTGGTGAAAGAGAGAGAGCAAGCGGGGAGGGGGGCTTCAGACAGCTTATGCAATCAATTAGTGCAGATTAAGATCTTTGGCCTACACAGTTCCAGCATGCAAGTGAAAAGGGCACACCATGAGGATAATCCACAAAGTTAGCCATTTGAAGCTCTACTGGAAACCAGAGTGGGTTCACTTGGAAAACATCTTATATAATTATGTTTTATTGTTGTTGCAAATTTGCTGTTTTTTTTTTTTACTGAAACCGTTTTAGCACTTGCTGTTCGTACATTCAAGTGTAAAATAATTTATTAAAACTCGCTTAGTCCTCATTCTTAAAAATGAATTGAGAGATTTTCTTGTATAAATGTAAAAATACCAATATGGACAAGAAGAAACTTTATCATGAATTCAGCTTGAATGTTTTTATGGTTTAAATAAAATTAAATACAGTTGTAAATAAGTGGGCAGCACGGTGGCGCAACTGGTAGAGCTGCTGCCTCTCAGCAAGAAGGTCATTGGTTCAAACCCCGGTCCAGGGGCCTTTCTGGGTGGAGTTTGCATGTTCTCTCCGTGCATGTGTGGGTTTTCTCCGGGTGCTCCGGTTTCCTCCCACAGACCAAAAATATGCATGTTAGGCTGATTGGTAACTCTAAATTGTCCCTAGGTGTGAGTGAGAGAGTGAATGGTTGTTTGTCTTGTTTGTCTCTATGTGGCCCTGTGATGGACTTGCGACCCGTCCAGGGTGTACCCCGCCCCTCGCACAGTGATTGCTGGACATGGGCACCAGCGACCCCCGTGACCCAAAATGGAATAAACGGGTAAAGAAAATGGATGGATGGATGTAAATAAGTGTATAATTGACAACTACGGGCATTTTTGAAGATGTTTTTCTTACTACACAAAATGAAAGGAAGTAAAACCAGAAGCATTTCAATCAGCCAGATCAGCTGAGCCGTTCATACTTTTTCTTTTTAACTTCTTGGTTCATGTTTGATAAAAGCTCCTTTCAGACCTTTTTTACTGTACAACAAAGGGTTTAAACCAAGGAAATTATGTGTAAAATGGCATTTTGGAGGCTTATGGTTAAATAAATAATAAAATAAAGGACCCCTCCATACAGACAAGTAAAATACCACCTATTTGTTCTGACAAGTAAACAATCCCAAACTATTTAATATGTGGTTGTTTTCTAAACCTTAACATATTTCTTGTAGACGTTAAGGATTATTGTGCATTTCTTCTTAGTCTTTTTGTGTAAAGATTATGTGTATGGAGTTTTGTAAACACATCTCATGTCCTTTTTTTTCAGAATACCTTTTTAGCTCATGTGTATTGCGTCTTTGTGCTATTTTATTCACCTTTTGTGAGGTTCGGTGCATTTTAAAGCCTATTTTAAGCATTTTTGTCATAACTTTTAACTTTTAACTTTAATGGCTGTTTTATACTTCTTTTTTTTTAGCAGCTCTGCCACATTAACAGTTTTGTTGACATTTTGCACTAATAGTTCGGGATTGTTCTGCTGTTGAGGTAAAAACTTTGATGAATAATTCTTAAAATTATCAAAAGAAAACAAAACCCCAACACAAGCTGTGGGTTTTGTTTATGGTTATTAACTTTTGCATTGTGACAGTTTGTTTTTTTACCACAAGTTTTGAAAACCCTCCAAGTTTATACATACAGTGCACAGCTTCCTTAAATCCTTAAAGTAAATCAATCACTTTCTCTGCAGATTTTCAAATTTATAAGTATAAAAAGCAATTTCAGTCAAACTAAAAACTTCATTTCACTTCTCATTTGTTCATTTTCTATTCCTACGTTTTTCCGTTCAGATACCTTTGGAGTCATACCAGTTTTCTTACTATGTATGCTCTTTGCTCATGACTTTCTTTTCTTTGTGTCATTTCCTGCTCTTATTAATTACATTATGCCTCAAGAAAAACAAGCAAACAATAAGAACACTGCTGTGCACTGACTCCAGCTGAAGAAGAGGATGCAGGAAAGAAGTAGTAATGTGGTCCCTAAAATAATTCAGACATTAAGTACTTTTTGGCCATTTTATGGCATCAAGAAATTATTTTAGGAACAAAAGTCTTTTCAGAGTTTAATCAATGTTGGAGAAAACATAGAACTCCATTGTGTCTTTGTGGATTTAGAAAAATATATGACAGGGTGCCGAGGGAGGAGGTGTGGTATTGTATGAGGAAATCTAGAATGACAGAGAAGTATGTTAGACTGGTACGGGACATTTATGAGGACAGCGGGACAGTGGTAAGATGTGCTGTAGGAGTGACAGATAGCTTCAAGGTGGAGGTGGGAGTGCATCAAGGATCAGCTATGAGCCCCTTCTTGTTTGTTCTGGTGATGGACCAACTAACAGACGAGGTCAGGCAGGAATCCCCGTGGACGATGATGTTTGCAGATGACATTGTGATCTGCGGTGAGAACAGGGAACAGGTGGAAGAGAACTTGGGGAGGTGGAGGTACATGCACTTGAAAGAAGAGGAATGAAAGCCAGCTGTAGTAAGACAGAGTACATGTGTGTGAATGAGAGGGAGGCTGGTGGAACAGTGAGGCTACAAGGAACAGAGGTCACAAAGGTGCAGGACTTCAAGAACTTGGGGTCCACTGTCCAGGAAAATGGGGAGTGTGATAGAGTCCAGGCAGGATGGAGTGGATGGAGAAAAGTTTCAGGAGTGATTTGCAATGAAAGGTTGTCAGCAAAGGTGTAGTGAACTTGACCTGATGTCAAATCAATGACCTTAGGATCATATGGTCAGAAACTGTCATTTCATTGATCTGCATCTAGAAATACAGGTTGATCGATCCTGAGACTTTCTTTCTTGAATTAATCAAGTGGAAAAGACAATTCTCTATGATCATTACTATTTTACAAATGTTTGATAATCAAATTGTGTTAGTTCAAACAATGTTTACATGTTGAAGTGAACTACTCATTTTTATTTACTTAAACAGTAGTAATGATTTTTATTCCTCATTCAAAGAAGAAATCAGGGTAATATGCATTTCTTGATTTTTCTGTCTTCAATGAGCAAATTTGTAAGTGTGTTAAAGTTCGAGCTTCGGTCAACTAAAAAGTTTACTGAAAAGAAATGTCATGTTTAACTTTCACAGCAGATACTAGGAGTAGAGACGCCACTAAGACTGGTTTTCTCCAACAATCTTTCTGTCTGTTCTTAAACAATCCTTGACTTTCCATAACACCTTACATCACAAACCACACCTCTGTTCTGGTCCATCCATGAATCAGAAAGCTCTCAAATGAACCGGAAGTATAGCCCGTTTAAATGTGGCAACTTCCCAGTTCAACGGTAGAGTTTCAGAGTTTCAGAGTTCAAGAGTTCAGAGTTCTGAAAGAGTTCAGAGTTCTTGGAATCCAGAATGCAGAGCGTTCAGGCATTCATGGATGCTACTGGACCAAACGAGCTGAACCAGAGACGATTTTGGGAATTATAACTTCTGTTTGGATAACCTCGCACGACTCTCGAGGTATTTTAGCTGTTCTCAACGGAGACGCTGAAAGTGGCTGGAAGTAGGACTTCACGCCGACCTGATCTATCTTCAGAAAGGTAAAGTCGACCTTCACCCAAAAGTGTACCGTTTGGGACAAGCTGATTTCCAAAGAGCGTGCTGTTCTGGTTAAAACAGATAAATTCCCTCACACATCTCTCTGTAAGATAAATCTCAATTTTCCATCTTCAAACTCTCCTTTCTGCTAGAAAATTAATCCAGATGTTTTCATTAATGTCTGTGGTGAAGCAACAGAAAACCATGGCCATATGGTTTTCCTGATTGATTAATTATGCTGTTGTTATTTTCATATTTTGCCAAATTAATGTAAATGTTTGATGTTAAACTTTGATTCTGTAAATAAATGACCGCATTCATTTTGATGGGTCAAAGATAAATAACGTCTCTCGTTACATTTCTGTTAAATTCAATGCACGCATGTTACACAGTTCAGAAAAATGAAGAACCCGTTTAATGTATGAATATATCTCAGTATATGTCATACTACAAAGGTTAAATGAAAAGTTTACCAGACATTGGTGAAACAAGCTGTATTGTATGGTCTGGAGACAGAGACATGGACAAAAAGACAGGAGAAAGAACTGGAAGTGGCAGAAATGAAGATGCTGAGGTTCTCCTTTGGAGTAACAAGGATGGATAAGAATGAGATCATCAGAGGTACAGCACAGGTTGAACAACTGGGAGATAAAGTTAGAGAGACCAGACTCAGATGGTTTGAACATGTCCAGTGGAGGGACAGGGTATATTGGTAGAAGGATGTAAGAAATGTAGCTGCCAGGAAAAGGACAAAGAGGAAGTCCAAAGAGGAGATCTATGGATGCAGTTAGAGAGGACATGGAGGTAGTTGGAGTGAGGACAGAGGATGCAGAGGACAGAGTGAGATGGAGGAGGATGACTCGCTGTGACGACCCATGAAGAGGGAAAAGTCCAAAGAAGAAGTTAAAAAAAATAAAACAGGTGTCAAAAATATTTTTTTGTCTTCCCCTTGCTCTTAATACTTCAGAACAAGTCATCAAGCTAGAAGGCCATTAGTGCAACATCATTAACTTGTAATTAAGACAGCCTTTACAGAGGGACGAGAAGGGACTACGGACACAATTACAAAAGTAAAACGCTAGTTGGAGCGGAAACAAAAATATATCGAATGTCTCCTCCTGTAGTGAGTTATTTTTCATCTGTAGTGAGTGACTGATGAGGTAGTGTTCCTTGTACCTTTTACCTGTTGTGTTGTCACACAAGACTAACCTCTTTCTTAACTGATTGAAATCCACACCTGTTCTCCAGAAGCCTGTCTTTAGGCTTAAGACACTTCACTTTGAGGAGTTATAGAAGCAGTGGTGCTTTGTTCTGATAGTGGCCAACCTGCAACACACGCTGAAGGTTTTGTTGTTTGGATTAATGACAAATAAAAGCTTTTCTTCTTTAAAGAATGGTGTAGGCAGATGAACTAAAGGCACTTTGGTTTCATGCATGAATAATTTATTTCCCTCCCACTTCCGGATCACAGAAATGCAGACTACTTCCTTTTCTGGTTTTGAAATATTTAGCAACTATTGTTTTTACGTGGATCTTTTAGCCTAGTTTTTTTCCAATTAAGGCACATCAGATATTTCCTCAATGTCAAATATCTGTTTTAGACATAATTTTTTCAAAAAGCACAATATTTTTTCAAGCTCAAAGTAGGATTTGATCATTCATAAGCAGATATGGCTTTGCGTGATGAAAATTGTGCCATACTGTGCAGAAGGTTTTAACTACCCCAATTTTTTTTTTTTTAATTATTTCCATTGTTGTAATCTCTTAAATGGGTCATGATTAGTTCCTCTGATTTTTTGTTTTTTATTTGTACTTTTGCTGCTTTTTCACCCATTTTCAGTCAGGCTCATGCACCTGAACACATCATGTCAGTTCTAAAGAATAATCTACAGCAGATGAACACGATTTATAAAGTCCTGTGTTCATGAAATAAAAATGCAAACCCAGTAAAGACCTGAGATAAAACCAGACATCTTATCCTCCCATGTGTTGACTTGACCAGTTTGTGAGTACCGTATTTCTTTCACCTTTCCCCTCCTTCACTCTTCTTGCCCGTTGGCAACGTGGGCAGAGCTAGTGGACTGATAATCCTCTTAAAAGACTCACTGCTCATTTGTCAGAGTCCAAATAAAGTACGACCTTGTGGGATTTAACCGGGAGTTGCTTTGTGGCCTCCTGCTGTGAGTGAGAAAATCTGGGACGAAAAGGGATGTGAGCACTGGGCCAAGTTTTCTCACTGAAGGAGGAGCCAAGAGCCTTTGGAAACAAGCGACAGCAGGAATTAGCCAGGTCCCACCAATGTTTACTTCCTAAATAGTGGCACTGATAAAGGTGTTTCCCTGTTACGGCCTTCACGCACATACACACTTCCAAAAGAAAGCTAAAAATAAGATTTAAATGTTAAAATTAGTTGTCATTTTTTTTTTCTGTTTGGTAACTAAATAAAAAAAATGTTGGTGACAAGTAAACAATTTTATTTATTTATTTTTTTAACCATTGTGACAGTCACGAGTGTAAGCAAAGTCCATAACGTGTTGATGACAGCCTGTAAATGCACACATGCTGATTGTTGGAGCTAAAATTAGAAAGGTCTTTTAGAGCTTGAATGAAAATTCATATTAGACCTTTTTCAAAATGGATGGAGTCTGGAAAACACAAAAATATGTCTATGTGATTTTTCTTGTTGTTATACTGTAATATACGAGCTGTACTCTTATACAACATATTTGTCAGTGAGCTCTTTTTAAGCAGAAAATTGTGTTTTGTTGGTTTGTGCGAGTGTTTATAATACATTCAGAAATGGTGAATGGTGTATTTTTGTCTTTCTAATATTTATGTATCCCCCCAAAAAACTTTTCTTATAATAGTTGACCTAAAAAAATGTTTTACTTAAAGTCTTTGTCCATTTGTCTCATGAAATAATTGCGTAACTGTGTTAAATATACAAAGTTTAATTAAGTAAACCCAGACATGTTTTATTTTTCCCTTCACATATCTTTGTTGCTTTATTAATTTATAGTTATGCAAGTAAAAAGGCTCATATTCTTGGTATTTACCAAAAACAGTGTTTATGACACTGGTGTCTTATTATTATCATCACATTTTCTCTAAATTTTACACAAGTATCATTCAACTGAAAAGGCCTGCAACACATATGCAGTACAAATATCCACCTTGTAATTCCTGTACTTGATACAAACCTTATAATATACTGTACAAAATATATTTACAATAATGTGGTGAGTGTTTTCACTGGGCGATGCTACTTAGTACCGCCTTGGCTTAGACTCTTGGTCATTACGGAGTCGCAGCTGGATTCATGTTTTAAAAACAGTGTCTCTAATCTGGTTTATTTCAGTCCATTGTTGGTTTTCATTTACTTACAGTCTTATTTATTCTGCAGTCTTGTCAACTCCCAAACTAAAAATGGTGCCACACCGCTCTACCTGGCCTGCCAGGAGGGTCACCTGGAGGTTGTCCAATTCCTGGTGAAGGACTGCGGGGCAGATCCGAGCATCAGAGCCAAGGATGGGATGACACCTCTGCACGCTGCTGCTCAAATGGGCCACAACACTGTCATAGTCTGGCTGGTGTGTTGGATTACATAAAAACATTATAACATGTCTTTGCAGGGAATTTGTTTAACGTTAGATTAAATGGCTTCAAACTTTTTTTAAATAGTCAAAATGTCAAAACCTTTTGATTTGCCCTCATCGTCCCTTTCGTAGATGAGCTTCACAGACATCAGCCTGACAGACAGGGACAGTGACGGAGCCACAGCCATGCACTTTGCAGCCAGCCGGGGCCACTCAAAGGTGCTTAGCTGGCTGCTGCTGCACGGTGGGGAGATCGTCACCGACAGCTGGGGGGGGACCCCGCTCCACGATGCTGCAGAGAATGGAGAACTGGAGGTGAGTGCTAAGTCTGAAGTTGAATATTAAGGTTCAAGGTTCTTTATTGCCATTCACATCACATGTGGTACATGAGGTAGAATGAAATTATGTACTCAAAACATCCAAAAATTACAAAAATATAAAGTATAAAACAAGAAAGAGTATACAAGGATCTAAGATATATACTAAACAATATTAATGTAATATAATACAGTATATTAAACAGCAGCCAGAACATGAGTCTGCTGTGAGAAGATGTGTATGAATAAAGCAGCTTATAGGTAAGAAATCAGCAGCATGGATAATCAGCAGCACATATAAAATGACAAACCTCCTATTAAAGTGGCATTACAGTGATTTTCCTGGTTAGGGATTCATGAGTCTAACAGCAGAAGCTGTTCTTCAGTCTTGTGGTTCTACACTTAATGCTACTCAACTTCCTGCCTGAGGGGAGTGGGACAAAAATTGTGTGTGCTGGGTGAGTGGGGTCCTTCATGATGCAGGTGGTCCTCTTCCTGCAACTGGAGGTGTAGATGTCTGTGATGGTGGGGAGGCTGACTCAAACAGACTTCTGTGCAGCCTTCACCACTCTCTGCAGAGCTTTCTTCTCTCCAGCTGTGCAGCTGAATATCACAATATTTTAAATCTAAAGTTGATGTCTCTTTTACAAAATTTTTGCTTTGACACTTTGATTTTTATTAGAAAGGCCAACAGCAGCAGGATCAGAGGAGGAACAAGCTAAGATCAAATATTCAAATATTTTACGCAGAGGTGTTGTGATTCATGATGGCCACTGACCCATGATGAGTTTTACAGCCAGTTGTTTTGAATGTCTGCCCTCTAGCTTATGGCTCTCACCACCACACTGACCTGTTGCTTTTACTAACGGTTTTAATGAGACCAACTTGGGGTCAAACAGCTTTTTCCTGTCAACACACAGGCAGCTTCATGTTTGGCTAATAACGGTTGAAGTTAACTTGTAAATTAGTTGGTTAATTAACAAGTCTGAAGAAAGATGATTAATAAAACATGGATCATGGTCGTCTAACAGTTCTTGTGTGGATGCTGAGTCAGCATTGTTTTCCATGTTTATGGTTTCTTCCTTACACTGTTTGCAGTCAAACTACTTCTGATATCGTTTTGCTGTTTTGGCAAGATCAAACGGATCGGCTTGATCAGGATGAACGTTTTGTGATTTCTTGTATTTGTTACTTTTATACTTTATGAAATATTTACCTTGGTTGCCAAAAGTATTATGATTTTATGCTACAGTTCTGCCCCTTTTTATTTTTAGGTAGGTACTGTTATCCTATTTTTAGCTATTGGCTACTGTTTTAATAGTTTTAGCTTTGTACTGTGGTATTTAGCTTATAGCTACAATTCTGCTGAGTTTAGTTTTAATGCACTGTTTGGTTTGTTTAGCTTATAGCTAATTCTGCTAATCTAATCTTATGTTACTAATTGCTAAATGTGTTTTTTAGCCAGGAGTTAGCTATTTGCTACAGTTTTGTTGATTTTAGCCAGCATTCTGCTCGTTTTAATACACACCAATTCACAAAAGTTTTTCATCAAATTTCAGCGGCCTTCCAGCTTCTACACTGGACTTCTGCACAAAACTCAGTCAGACAGTTTGATAACTAAAGTTTGGCTGTAAATATTTTACTGTACAGTATATTTTCAACTTACAATATTAAAGTAAAATAATACATTTTCTGTTAAAACTCTGTCACATTTACACCTTCAGTACTTTCAACTGTCAACCAGTGATTTGCAGGATCATCAGGTGGATCAGTTCATCAGTAATGCCACTGACTGACTGAAGTACCAACACTATAATTGATCCATTCTCTGTCTATTCTTCAGTGCTGTCAGATCCTTGTAGTGAATGGGGTGGACCTGGGTATCAGGGACCAGGACGGCTTCACAGCAGCAGACCTGGCTGAATATAACGGCCACTCTCAGTGTGCCAAGTATCTGCACACAGTGGAAAACATGGTAAGATCAGTCGCCAGTAAGTCTTGCTGTCATGAATCCTGAACTCTGACCGTCCTGTGAACAGAGACAAAGTGGTGAATCAGTCAAGAAGCAGAGCTTTGTTTTATGTTTTTAGGTCTCTGTAGATAATCAGGTTGAAAATTGACATAAACAGAAAGTGTGCACGGGTAAACTTTGAGTCTCTTCCAAGAAGATTCAGTAAAACTGCTTTCGGTGCAACAAGTGAATGACTTTTATACAGTTTAAAATGTTAAGCCTTGTCTAAATATTTGGCCAGTACTCTTACAAATAATGTTTTGAAATTTAGAACAGCAAACTGGGTTAAAACATTTTTTTATTATTTCACATAAAAACATTCTGAAAGATTTTGTGTGATCTGTTAGCCCTTAGATTATGAATCGAGGATAACTCTCAGCTACTACCACACCACATTTAGCTCAGTTTATATAAAATTTGCAGAGTTATAGCCATTTTTGTGTCAGCTAAAGTTACCTGGCTGTGGCGGCCATGAATATATTGAAAGACTAATACTTTGTTTTGTCTTTCATTGTCTTTTTGTATTAGACAAGGCCAGTCACACCAGTCATTTATTTCAGAAAGTTAAATGTTGGAGCCAGGACAGTGGCCCCATACTGAGAGATTGTTTTGACCGAACAGACTGGCAGGTTTTCAGAGAAGCTGCTGAAAATGGAGGTTCGCTTGATCTTGACCAATACACATCCTCAGTACTGGGTTACATTAGTACATGTACTGACACAGTCTCCACTATCAGAAATGTTAAAAGCTACCCAAACAGAAAACCTTGGCTGAATGCAGAGGTGCGTACCCTGCTGGAAGCCAGGAACACTGCCTTCAGGTCTGGAAACTCAGAGGAGCTGAGTAGGACAAGAAAAGAGCTGGTTGCTGGTATTAAGAGGGCCAAGGCCACATATGCAAAGAGGATCGAGGGTCAATTCATCTCACAAGACCCTCGGAGCATGTGGAGGGGCATTAAGTGCATAACAGATTATAAAGGAAGGAGTGAACAATGCCCCAAAGACCCATCTCTGCCTGATGCCCTCAACAAGTTCTATGCACGCTTTGAAGACCCGAACAGACCACCCAGCACCAGACTCACCTCACCACCGGATGAAGAGCATCTCAGCGTGACCTCAGCAGAAGTAAGGAGTACATTCAGGAGGATTAATCCACACAAGGCAACTGGCCCAGACAACATCCCTGGAAAAGTGTTGAAGGAATGTGCTGATCAGCTCTGTGAGGTGCTGGCAGACATCTTTAACACCTCACTTACCCTGGAGACAGTTCCCACCTGCCTGAAGACTGCCACCATCATCCCAGTCCCAAAAAGCTCTACAGTGACTGGTCTGAATGACTATCGGCCAGTGGCCCTCACCCCGATAGTCGCTAAATGTTTCGAAAAACTGGTCATGACTCACATCAAAACAACCATCAACATCAACGAGGACCCTCATCAGTACGCATACCGTGAGAACTGATCAACAGAGGATGCAATCTCCTCTGTGGTCCACACTGCGCTCAACCACCTGTAGCAGAAAAACTCTTACGTCCGTATGCTCTTTGTGGACTTCACATCCGCCTTCAACACCATGATCCCCCAAACCCTGATGGACAAACTATCCACACTAGGACTAAGCCCCTCCATCTGCAACTGGGTACTAGACTTTTTAACAAACAGACCACAGTTAGTGAGGATCCACAACCTCTCCTCCTCCACCATAACCCTCAGCACTGGCTCTCCTCAGGGATGTGTGTTGAGCCCCCTTCTGTTTACTCTGCTCACATATGATTGTGCAGCTACCCATCCAGGCTGTCACATTGTAAAGTTTGCAGATGATACAGCGGTGGTGGGATGCATCACAAACAATGATGAGTCCAGCTACAGGCAAGAGGTGGAACACCTGGAGAGCTGGTGCAGAGAGAATAACCTTCACATCAATGTGAAGAAGACAAAGGAGATGATTGTGGACTTCAGAAGGAACAAAAACACCTACACCCCCCTGAACATAAGAGGATCTGCGGTGGAAGTGGTCTCCAGCTACAAGTACTTGGGTGTACACATGAATGACAACCTCAGCTGGAGCAACAACACCACCAGCCTGATCAAGAAAGCTCATCAGAGACTCTACTTCCTCAGACGGCTGAGGCGAGCTGGTCTGGGAAGCTCAGTCCTCACCTCCTTCTACAGGTGTGCAGTGGAGAGCATCCTGTGCTCGAGCATCAATGTGTGGCATGGAGGCTGCACAGCTGCAGAAAGAAAAGCTTTGCAGAGAGTGGTGAAGGCTGCACAGAAATCTGTTGGAATCAGTCTCCCCACCATCACAGACATCTACACCTCCAGATGCAGGAAGAGGGCCACCTGCATCATGAAGGACCCCACCCACCCAGCACACACACTTTTTGCCCCACTCCCCTCAGGAAGGAGGTTAAGGAGCATTAAGTGTAGAACCACTAGACTGAGGAACAGCTTCTACCCTGAGGCTGTTAGACTCATGAATCTCTAACTAGAATAATCACTGTGAAAAACCATATCATGTTGCTGCTGATCTGTTTCATGTTGCTGCTGATCTGTTTCATGTTGCTGCTGATCTGTTTCAATGTTGATGTGTTCATGCGTGCACATCTGCTCACAGACTCATGTTCATGTTTGTGCTGATGTTCAATGTTTTATGTTATGAGTGCTTAGTGTATATTTAGTTGATGTTTTTCTTAGTTCATATCTTAGATGTTATTACTGTTTTTCTTAGACATTTTATTGTTGGATGTAACTGGGACCCCGTGTACATAATTTCGCTCCACCACATGTACCACATGAGGTGCGAATGACAATAAAGAAACTCTGACTCTGACTCTGACTCATTTTCAGTCTTAAAACACAAAACAGGCGTTTTACAATCAGATCTGTAAAAATGGATGTTAGGTTATGTGCTTTGTTTTGCACAAATGTTCAACAAAACTGGATTGGTTTTCAGTTCCTCACTAATCAGAAATATCTTCATAAATGTTGTGATTTACAGGCACATGTGAGGAAGAAGGATTAGAATTCACATTAGAGAATGTGGTCCTATGATCGGAGGATCGCTGGTTCAACTCCCAGTACAGACAACATCAAAATCTGGGTGGGATTGGTGAAGCACCCACAGCTGTCTCCACCCTCATTTGTCTCACTCTGGGCCCTTAAGAAAGGCCCTTAACTCCCACCATGTGCTCCCCCGGGCGCCCTAGATAGCAGCTCTCTGCTCCACACAGAGAGCTGTGGTAGCTCGGTGGTCTGTGGTTGTGCCAGGAAGGGCATCTGGCGTAAAAATAATTGCCAAGTCTTCATGCGACTTAGCTCGCTGTGGTGACCCTGAAGAAGGAAGCAGCCGAAAGAAAAAGAAGAAGAGAAAAAAAAAACTGGCAATTACGAGGACCGTTCAGAAAATAAAATAATAAAGTGAGTTTACAAAGCCACAAATAGGAGTACAGTAATGTTGTGTCTGATTTGGGTCCAACTGGATTCAAGATATATAGTTATGGCAAAGTTACAGTTTGTTTGACAAAACCAGTATTCAATACTTGAAACCACTGCTGTATTAAATATAAGAAAGGTTAATTTAAAAATAGTCTCACTGCCAGTAGTTTACAGATCTGACTGGTTAAAAACCACTTGTAATGAACAGCAGTACAGACTTCACAGATTGTTCTCTGATTTTTTTCTCGAAAACAAAGAAACAAGAACAAAAACCTGAAACGTCACGCTTCAGATTATTCATTTTTGGTCTCGAAGAGCCAAAGCTCAACCCTGAACAACACATACATGAATTTAAACAAATGAACCAACTTGATTTCAGTTTTTTCTCTGCTAACTTCCAAAGCTTGTCATGCAGTGCCATCTATAACAGAGAAAAGCCTGAGTGTGCAGAGTATCTGTCACTGTGCTGCTGCCACACTGAACTCTCTGGTGCAGAGAAACAGAGTTTCTTTCTTTCTCACGAGAGACGTGCATCCTCATGGGTCCTGCACTGTGGCAAATGTACAAATCCCCCGAGTCCCTCTGATCAGCTGTGAGATGTTTCATTACTGTGAGGTAATTAAACTCATAGCACTTTTCTGCTCATGCAAGGCACCAGGGACTGAGAGGTAAAGGGGTTTATAAACTGATGTGAGTATTTCATATTAACTGGCACCTGTATTCATACTGCTCCCTCTGACAGAGTGTGGAGCATCGTGTTTTGTCACGAGACCCGTCGATGGACCTCGAGTACAAGCAGCCAGACTCGGGCCTTTCATCCCCGAATACCACCATGCCTCCCTCCAGCCAGGCGGTACACTTTGACATCGGCTCACCGTCCAGCTCCCTGTCCAATTACGACTCTGCCAACTCCAGCCAGTCCAGCACGGGGGAAAAGAGGAGCAGCTTAACCACGTCACAAGGCCCACCCACGCAGCTGAACACAGTTGCACATCAAGGTCTGCAACTCTTTAAACAATACAAACATAAATGGTGTTTTCCATCATCAGAATGTAGGATGATTCAAGCCTTTGTGCCTAAAGATCAGAAACACCAAACTTGTTTAATATTTCCTGTCACAGGTGCTTTATATACTGCTGCTGCACCCTAGTGGTCCATATTTGCAGATCTTTTGTTCCAACAATGGAGGTGCACAGTCATGGGTCTCATTTATTTTTAAACAGTATATAAAGATACAGAAATTAGATCATGTTACAAAACATTTTTTGTGAATTAAAACTAATATCTTGTCCTTTTCTGAGTAAGTTCACCACTTACTGAGCATGTTTGTGTCTCAGGTGCGTCAGAGTCAGCCCTTTCAGACATGCAAGCCTACATGGACATGCTGAACCCGGACATCAGTGCCCAAGACGCACCCAAGAAGAACCCTGTCGATCCTGTCCCCAAGCCCCCGCCACCACCGAGCTTCCCCCCACCACCTCCCCCCAAATCTCCACCGGCACTTCCTCCACCTCCCGGTTACCCCGCACCGCCGCCTCCACAAGAGCCTTCATCAGCTGAGTTCCTCAAGGTGAAAAGCAACTTGCGTCATGTGGAGAAGAAAACCAACAAAAAGGAGGTATGAAACTCAAATAGGTTTAGAACAAATCAGTCAGAAGAACTTCAGCTTTGTGCAACCACAACCATGTCTACATTTAATACAGATTCAGCATTCGCATTGTTGTTTTTCTAATCTAAATAATTCTGCATACGTTATAATATTCTAACCATTCGTATATACTTTGTATAATTGTTCAGCTCATCCAGGAGAAAGGTGCTAAAATGTTAGATGTTTGCAACATTTATACTTTTCAAAGTATTTACCTTTATTTGCAAATGTTTTCCCATAAAAATACACTAAGATCTCATCAAGTTAATCAAAAGCATTGCCATTGAAATCTGATTTAGCATACCTAATTAATTTATTTATTGTATTTTGCTACTTTTAGATTTTAGTTAGTTTTTTGTTATTGCAGTGGTGATTTCCATCCGTGCATCCATCCATCCATCCATCCATCCATCCATCCATCTATTCATCCATCCATTATATTTACCTGCTTCTTCCTCTTGGGTTGCGGGGGTCACAGGTGCCCATGTCCAGCCATCACTGTGTGAGGACACCCTGGACAGGTCGCAAGTCCATCATAGAGAAAAATGAGACAAACAACCATTCACTCTCACACCTAGGGACAATTTAGAGTTACCAATCAGTCTAACATGCATGTTTTTGGTCTGTGGGAGGAAACTGGACTGCCCAGAGAAAACCCACACATGCACGGAGGGAACATGTGAACTCCACCCCGGCCAGCATTTGAATGGGGGCGACCTGCTTGCTGAGAGGAAGCAGCTCTGCCAACTGCACAACTGCAGAACTGGGCTGCCCTAGTGGTGACTTCTTTCAAACTCAAATATTTTATAAGGTCCAAAGGCCTCTACTGCAACAGAGCTGTTTTACAATGCAAGCCAAAAAGAAGTTCAATGTCCAAATCAAAATCTTTTCCTTTAGTGGTTGTTTTAATCCTTTTCATCAAGTGACAAAACAAACATTTGTGCTTCCTGCTTCTTCTTCTCTGCTCTGATACAAAGAAACATATGCCCACCCCATTGCATGCTGGTCTTAAACCTGCTCACCAATTTTTGAATTCCCAGTCTTTACCTAGCCTTCAAAATCAAACGAATAAATGCAACTAAGTGCAGAACCACTAGACTGAGGAACAGCTTCTACCCTGAAGCTGTTAGACTCATGAATCCCTAATCCGGATTATCACTGTGAAAAAAATACTGTAATATCTCTTTGACTGGTGATATGTACTGCTGATTATCCATGCTGCTGATCTCATGCTGCTGATTATTTCATGCTGCTGTATTCATTTGTATTCATCTACTCACACAGACTCATGTTCGTGCTGCTGTTGTTCAGTGTATTGTTTTGCTCTATTAGTGTTTAACGTATATCTTAGATCTTTTAGCGTATCGTTTGACGTTCGTCTAGTGTATATCTTAGTTTATATCTTAGATCATTATTTACTTTTTATTTTTACACTTTATATTTTTGCTATTGGTGGATTAACTGGGACCCTGTGCACATCATTTTGTTCCACCTCATGTACCACATGTGGTGAAATGACAATAAAACCTATTGAACTTGAACTATTGTTCAAATACAAACAAAATATTTATTACAGTAAATTACAACAAATAGGTAATCTAAAGGAATTTAAATAATTGTAATTATTATATGAAATTACATATATATTATATAATATTAATATTATAATATTATTATAATTATTATATGAAAAGATAAAACAGCTCGTGAGTTACTTATAGATTTTAGCTAGCATTTTGACACTTTTGACTTTTAGTTAGCTTTTTGATGTTTTCAGCTTTTAATTATCATTTTTTACTTTTAGCTAGCCCTTTACCATTTTTAGCTTTTAGCTCATTTTTTTTATACTTTTAGTTATTCTGTTTCTATTTCAAGCTAGCCTTAAAGCTTTTTCTACATTTGGCTACCCTTTTGCTATAAGGTTTTAGCTGACCTTTGGCTATGTTTAACTAGCTTCTTGCTACCTTAAGCTAGTGTTTTGCTACTTTTAGATTTCAGGTAGCCTTCTGTAACTTTTAGCAACTGTTGTGCTAACTAACATTTAGCCATTTTAGCTTGAGCTAGCCCTTTTGCTATTTTTGCTAGTGTTTTGCTTCTTAACAAATGTCCCGTTTCTTTTAACTTTGCCACGTCAGTTTTAGCTTCTTTAATCATTTTCTGGAAAGTTAAAGTCTGCATTTTCAGAGAAAGCCATTTCTGCTCTTCTTTTCATTTCAGATTAATCTGTGCCGTAAAATATTTTGCATCTTATTTCCGAAATGCAACATTTATTAATTTAATTCAGACTTGATTCTGTAAAAAAAATCTGTTCCAGGTATACAAATAAAATAGAAGCAAAAAGAACAGAGTTTGGGATAAATTGGCAATTAGCTGTTTTTCCCTTGTGTGTCCAATCAGTTGGCCCACAGCGCTTCGGTAACAATGTACCGTCGCTGGGTGCCAACAGAGATATTATTGTGTTAGCATGGCTAACGAGGCCACAGAAGATGCTCATTATTGCAACAGGCCCCTGGGCTGACACATACAGTGATTAATGTGATGGGGTTGATCATAATTCTACTAATTAATCTGGCAGTGGATCACTCAGAAGGATTTCAAGCTGACAAGCAGTGCAGTGGCATTAATATTAGTGTCAGTACATCTGGTGGCTTAGCATGAAGCTTACTGACATTCCCTCAAATTATGCAATTGTTCCATCATTAAATCAATAAAATTCGACTTTTTAATATTTGCAGATCTTTGTATGGATAATAAATGTTACAATATTAATGTAAAATCGTTAAGGTGTGAATTGTTTCACTTTCACCCAACAAGGAAATCTTTCATTCACTGGTCATCAGATGTAAAACTCAGAACTGATGAGAACTGACAAGAACTGATGCCCATAAGTATTGAATAACAGCTGGGCAAGATTAAACAGTACAGTACAGAAAAACAATAAGCATAACTCGCTAGCAAAATACAGCAAAAATATAAAATATAATTGGAAACTTTTACTCAGCAGAGGATACAGGAGGCAGAATCATTTGTAAACTCATCATGTCATCTCATGTGTTTTTCATGTTTAACTGATGATCAAAAAACTATAAATATATCACGGAGTAAAAGCTGAGCAGCTAACTGACCTTATAAACCAGACAAAAGGCTGCAACTCAATCAGACTGTACAGTTACTGAGCTTAATAAATTAAACTTTTTTTTAATGTATCATTTTTTTTTTATCTTTATTGAACAAAATGTACAAAACAAGCAGGTATTGTAATTAACAAGCAGCACCTCCAAAACAATGACAAGACGTGAACGGAGTCCGTTGTAAAACAGGTACAAATAATACAAGATAATCAGAGATACTATTTAAGAACAGACTGGAAAGAAAAGGGCAGCACGGTGGCACAACTGGTAGAGCTGCTGCCTCTCAGTGAGCAGGTCGCCAGTTCAAATCCCAGTCCAGGGGCCTTTCTGGGTGGAGTTTGCATGTTCTCTCTGCGCATGCGTGGGTTTTCTCTGGGCAGTCCAGTTTCCTCCCACAGACCAAAAACATGCATGTTAGACTGATTGGTAACTCTAAATTGTCCCTAGGTGTGAGAGTGAATGGTTGTTTGTCTCATTTTTCTCTATGATGGACTTGCGACCTGTCCAGGGTGTACCCAGCCCCTCGCACAGTGATTGCTGGACATGGGCACCGGCGACCCCCGTGACCCAAAATGGAAGAAGCGGGTAAAAGATAATGGATGGATGGATGGATGGAAAGAAAAGGATAAAGAATAACAAAACAGACAATGAAAATAAAATTTAAATTTAATCAGAGGATTCGAGAAAATATAATTTGTAATTAGAAATAAAATGACTATGTTTTACTCCTTGTAATGTTTCTAGTATTTATATATTTGCAAAATAAATTACAGGAAAACTGCTAAAACTAGCCCTTTTAGTTGTTGTTATAACAACCAATAAAAGTCACTTTTCAGTTTTGGTCAAAGCTTGACAGAGCTGCTGCAAAGGGACCAAAGAGCCGCATGTGGCTCAGAGCCACAGATTGCAGACTCCTGGTCTAATTAAAGACTTTTTCATCTAAAAAGCAGAACAGTTGAAGAGAAGCAGAACCAGCTGATTCACAGGAAAGGTCCACGGTCGGCCACTGACCCAGTCGATGTGTCCTGTATGCAAAGTTAGCTCACTGCAGCCATAAACTCCACAGCTTGTCGGTTAGTGAGCGTCTCCTCTACAGACGGTCTCCATAGTGAGCTCTTTGTGTTTGTGTTTCTGTGTCCAAGCATGAACCCCTCACCGCAGACGTTTGAGTTCTGTCCCATCTCCAGCTGATCTGCTCAGGCTGCGCCCCTTATTAATAATTGAATAAAAGTCACTGCGCTCAGAGCCCACATACACATTTGTGCACAGAAAGACACACAACCGAGAACACCGTGTGCCATATACGCTGAGAAAACCAATCTGCTTGAGGTGGCACAGTTACAGCCAATCAGATGGACCAGGTTTACATTCTCAGGTGTTTCTCTGATGGTTTTTTTAAGAGGCTTCTGCGTTGCTGCTTCGCTCATCTCATTTGTCTGCATTTGCTTGAGTCCAGTCTGGGCTTTTTTTCTTTTGTGTAGTGTTAAATCAATGACCACTTTCCCTTTATTGGTCTTTTTGACAATAGTCCCTCCAGAAACTTTGAACTTTGTCATTTATTTTGTAACCAGAATTAGTCCTGAAGAGGTTGTACTGTTAAAATGGGGACACATAATGCTAGAATGTTCTAATAATCCTAAAACCTGAAGGATTTGTGCTTGGCAGCTCGTGTTCTGAGAAACACATGGGCATTTGTGCTTTGCATAAACAGAACTGGGCAGGGTTGGGGAGTGGTTAGAGTCCGCTGGTTGGTGGTGACATCATTGCCACTGCCGTGCTGGCCCAATAGGTAATTGATGAGGCCTGCGGGTAAAGTGAGAGGGCAGGTAGAGTGACAGGTGTAGCTCTGAGCAGAAAGGAGGTGACGCTCTGCATTTGGTGACAACTGCTCTCTGTCTGGACTTTGTGGTTGCAGCTCTGTCCAAAAAAGAACTGTAAAAGTGGATGTTTTTACACTAAGGTAAGAAGACTTAAGGGAAACCTTGATGTTAAGAGCGATGGAGCTGACTAAGCTGAAGTTTGTGTTGCTGACATGACAAGTTGTCCTTAACATTTCAGCTAATTTGCATGTTTTAAAGCTGCTGGACAATGAATCTGACACGTGAATTCATGCGTTTGGACAAGTCGGAGTAGATTTGCTTCACTTGGTTGAAAAGTTTGTTTCAGTGGAAGTTGTTTTTACTTTTTAATTATCCTCCTTACATTTTCTAATGGCTTCAACCACCTACCTGTGTCGGAACCACATGCAAATCTGCTGAACCATTTCAAACAACCAACAGGCTAAACAAATTTTTGGTATTGTTGCACGTAACACTAAAATGTAAAAGCAGTTGGACACACATGCATAGATGACTTTATGTTGACAGACCAATCTGTTCAGTGAAAGGAAAGGATGTCTGTGTATGTGTATGTGTGTGGAGGGGAAAATGGGGTGTTATGGCGAAATGCTTTGTACTGCTACTGTTGACCCACATCCCCAGAGGACAACGATTCATCTGCAGCTCTCCTCGCTCACATTACCCTCTTGCTTGATGAGTGCTCAGGGACCATCTCTTTGACGACCGACATGAGTCAACACAATTAAAAAGGCTTGCAGGAGCTCAGAACATGAGACCACAAAGAAGGTTAAGGTCAAGGGTCAGCTGTCAATCATTTCACCTTGATCAGACATCATTTGAGGGCTTGATGTTTCGGGCTGCCAGCAAACATTTAGATGTAAATGAATACAAATTTGATGCTTTGTCCCGGATTTGAAAGGCAAAATACTCTTCTTCACTTTAAAAATGTACACAGATTCTATGAGACAGCTAATTTTTAAGGATATATATATATATATATATATATATATATATATATATATATATATAAACATATAACAAAAGTTGTGTTTTTATTTTTCACATTTCACTTTGGTTCATTTGGAAGCATGGGAATCAGGATGTGCTGACTATAAACAGCTATATTTTGAGGCATTTTGCATAAGGAAGTAATATATTTTTTTCAAAAAAGAAATAGCTAGCATTTCCGGATTATAGTAAAAAAAGGGAGGCTTCCACAGCAGGTGCAGTCTGAAATATGCAGTCTAATGAAAATTTAAATAGCAGCATGTAGGTGTTTGGTCAGGGCAGGATGTGGATGTGCTTTTAGTGAGAATAAAGGCCCAAGTTGGTGATCTGCTCTGACAATGATATAAAAACTTCACGTAAATCTGTTGAAGTTTGATGAATCGTGTAGATGTTTGGGTTTTGTGCGAGATAAATTAGAGTTTGTTCTGCTTTTCAAAAAAAAGCTGCTTTGGTCACACGAGAGCTAATCCATCAATAATAGCAAGTATAGACGATGTGCACGGCATTCTGCTGTGTGGCCATGAACTAGTTCCTTGCTTCTGTCACTTTTCAAAGCACTGACAATATCTGACTTCTAACATAATTAACATGAAAGCACACTTTTAAAATGTGCATGAATAGATTTGACTCCTACACAACAACAATAAAAACATAAGAATTACAGAGTATTTTATATTGATTTCTCTATTTTTGTCATCTCCAAACAGCTGATTCCTGGAGAAAGCCACGAAAAGTTGCGGCGTGTGGATTCAAACAGGAAGTCGAGGAGTTTTAACAAACAGCCCAGCACTGGGGACTACTACAAGACACTGGGCGACGACACGGCGGAGCCCCGGGAGAGCAAAGGCATGGCGCCCAACGAAGAGGCAAGTCAGGTCTCTGCTCTTAAAACATGTCTACATTATGCAATGTCAAATCCCCTATAGAAACACAGTGGATCTTTCTTAAAGATACTTGTGAATGAATATAGTATTTTTCACATAGATACATAGATTGGATAAGGTTTTTTTTAAATCTCAGTATCCTGTGCTTTGGTTGTCCAGGGTTGTGTAAGATATCCCACCTCCACGTATAGTTGGCTTTTTGGGTGTGGTTCAGCTGCATTGGCATTAAGTTACAACAAAGACTGCATTATTTGCCTGAGCATTCCCACTCAGCATGTTGCATAATGGTGTACCATCTTGAGTTTTTTTCCACCTGATGCAAACTGCCCTCTCATTTCCATTTCATCTTGAGTTTCCACCTCGCTATATAAACCGTGCATGCTGCTGTAATAGAATAAACTCAGGACAGGAAGTGCGTAACAGGAAATAATGGAGAAACATAAAGAAAAAGATGCTTTATTTGAATGTAATTATATTAGTACTAATAGATTGAGTGTATAAGCATGTGATGCATGCAAACTAGTGTTCTTTTTGTAACTGAATAAAGTTTAAATATACAATACATATCAGTAAAAGCTCTGAAAATGTGTAAAAAAAAAAGTCACTTTTTGCTGATATTCGTTTGTAAAATGATCTTCTGATAAACAGCAAATTGTTCAATCACAAAAAATATAAGTTAGATAAAAAAGCTACAAATTTATCAATTTATTTTCCATGACAATTAATTGCAAAAATTCCTATTAGTGATTTTTTTTATGACAAAAATAATCTAATGTAACAGCTCGTTTGGGTTCTCAGTCAATGTGTTCTTTCTTTATTATTGCTGCTTCCTGGTCCAGTATATATTACACTGGGCTTTTGAGTGTGTGGGGGTTATTGACTTCATTTATTTATTTATAAAAAATTATATATATATATATTATTTTTTTTTTTTACAAAAATGCTTATGACTAAATACATTTCTTTGGATTCAAACTTGAAATTGGCAGCTCCTACATAAAAAATGACACATTGTTTTTGTTTTTGTATTGCATAATGCTTGTAGAAATGCTTCAGATAAATATAAGTGAACTTGTTACTATATATGCAATGACACTTCCTGTAGTTTACTGATGTGCAAGACAATAAAACATCCCATGATGAGAACTTTTACTAAGTTAAGGTATCTAAAATGACATATTATTGTAAAGAATGCACAAACCATTTAGAAAGAGACGGAGAAGATTTGCTGTTTCATTTTAAGCAGAACAAAATATCCTACAAAAAATAATATAATAACTTTGAGCCAATAAAAGAGGTGAATGTAATGTTCTTTATATCACCAACACTGAAAACTGAAGCACGTCACCACAGAAAATATTACATGAGGAAAACTTATTTAGGAACTGTTCAGGCTTCTTTTTTTTTACAGAAAGGGGTAAAAAATAATAAACTCAATCAGAAGAAAAAAGCTGATTATCCTACCTTAAACTAAAAGGAAAGCATAATATAGGACTACCAACCACAGACATTAAAATGCACACAAAAAAAGTAACACATAAAGTAAACTGTGTGCACTAGTTAACTAAAGTGTAAACAATTGCAAATAAAAATGTGAACATGTCTAAATAAACTTCAGCTTTAACCAACTTTATATGTGTATTTATAGAGAAATATAAACAATCATATTTTTTAAAACGTAACTACTGTGGTTTTTGTTCAATAAGTGGCTGCAGGTGATGCTTTCACGGGTCACGATTTAAAGATTTGTGTTTGTGCGGCCTTTTTTTAAAATTAATCAAAGGATACTTCAACAAATGGAACTGGTAAACTGGCCTGTTTGCTGCAACATAACTTCACAAGCACAAAAGACTGAATGGAGTCATGGTCCCTGGAGAGGTTTGAAAATCCCAGGAGGGGCAGGGGGGCAGGATTGAGGGGGGGCACAAGGTATAATCCACATTGAGCCAATTAGGGCCTCGGAGGGGCCTCTCCCTGTCTCAGAGGGCCCCAGCAGATGGACGGGCTAATCAACGGCAGCGGCACGCGCTAAGGCCCATCTTTTCACCATCCCCCACCACAACTCCCTTGGGGATAAAAGTAAAATGGGGAAACAATGAAGAGCACGTGTCCGAGGATTAAATGTGTCTGTGTGTGTGTGTGGGGGGGGGGGGTGTCAAGTTAGCCGACATAGTCCATTAACTCACCCCCCACTGGAGTTATGGCACGCTTCGGGAGTGTGTCAGACGCGTGTAAGACTATCACTGGTAGTGACAGATGGCAAATTCACAGTTTTCTCCTCAAAGACACTCCACCGCCCCCACCCCGTTGGGATTAGGTCATATTAGCTCACTTATTACTAAAAGGGCATTGTGTATTTATGAGCAGGAAATGAGGATAACCCACACATCTGTCGCTGTCAGAAGCCTCTGTGCAAGAATTTAACACTGACTCTGCAGAAGCTTTATGTCAAACAGGGAATCTGTTCATTTGACAAGACATTTTTTTATGAAAGCAGATTTTTTTTTTAATATATATAATAGCAGTTGTGGACAAATTATAAAAGTAATAAAGGAACAAAATGATTAATGAGAGTCATAAAACCACCTTTTGGTTCCATCAATGTTCAAGAGCTGAACCCATAGTGACAGTATGGTGGTTGGACAAGTTAAATTCCTGAATTTAAGTTTACATCCATGTCAGTGGGTCATAAAACTCTTAAGTAGTGGGTCTCGAGTTAATCTTGAAAAGTGACCAAATATAATTTTCTATACAGTTGGCATAATTGTTACAAGAAGTTATAACACAGTAGCCATAAGTGTAAAAATATACAATAGTTGTGGGATGTTTGTGCTGCCATTTTCCTATTTTTACTGCCTTATGAGCAATGTTTGTGTATTTTAGTGGTGAAAATCGAGATCACAAATCTCGGCTGCTGTTATTCTGTGGGTCCAAGCAAAAAAGTTTCAGCTCCACTGAGTTCGGAAGTATCAGACGACTGACCTTTTCCTCTTTCTTCTCCCAGGGTTCGGCATTGTTGGAGGAGCCTACCGAAAGCCCCGCCCTAAGCTCTGAAAATGGTACCACAGAAGAATCGGTCCCGCCTCCTCCTCCACCTCCTCCTCCACCACCTCTTCCTCCAAGCAATCCGATGCCAACTCCCCCTCCTCCTCCTCCTCCGCTACCCTCTGGGGCCCAAACCACCCAGAATAATGCCAGTAGCACCTCCAACGATCAGCGACGCCCATCGTCCTCTTCAGGAAGTGAGTCCCTGCACTGGATTTTTATGTTTTTTTTTGCTAATCTAAATGTCCCACTTTTTTGTGATCTTGATCATCAGTTGCAAATTTTTTATCATGCTTGGATACATTGTCTCGCTAAGTCTGAGACATCATGGTAATAAGGACAATGCAATCACCATGGGTAACCATGTTAGTGTTCTAAATAACTAGTTATAAATTAATGATGCCAAGCTACCATTACCCTGAGACCTGGTTTAGAGTTCAGCCATTTCCTTAAGTGCCACTCTGCCACACACATTGCTCTGGTTGCAGGAGCTTTTATGAAATAAAGAGCACTTTAATGCAACTGACCTTCAAACTTTCTGTTGTCCAGTCCTCTGTGGACTTGAAGCAATGAACACGCGAAGATCATGTAAGGTTATGAGTAAAGGGAAGAGAAGAAATCCATGAGTACAACGATTCAGGTCAAGCGAATGTTTTAAAGAGAACACACTCAGCTCAATCGAACAAAAATAACACAAAGAAAAGTGACTAGTGTGCTTATCTAAAACAGTTTGAATTAGTTTTCATTGTCAAGCCTTCTTTCCTGCTTTGTTTCTGCTTAAATCAACAGCTCAGCACTTTTTGAAGTGGTGCTCTTTGGAATTAACATGAATCATTATCTCACCTGCTGTAGATAGTTCTGAGATGGCTCTGAGTTTAAAGAGTTTCAATCTAATTGAACAAAAAGCTAATGGCTAGTCCAAGGGGGGTGTTTGAGATCAAAGTGGATCAAAGTTATTGAAAAGTTTTAGAGTGGATTTGTTTAAAAATGGCATCAGTTATTTGGACTAGCCATTAGCTCGTCCAGCTGGTCAGAATTAAACTCTTTCTCCAACCTGAGGTCAATCAAAGAGTTATGTGAAACAGGTAAGATATCAACTGTTCATACTTTCCACAGAGCACCACTTCAAAAGATTCAAACTATCATTTGAAGTCTTATTTATAATCATCTTTTATTCCACTTATCTTATTTCACCTGCTTGTTCTGTCATATTTCTCTCTGTGTTTTTCCTCTCATTGCTTGTTGTGCTCCATCTTCTTCTTCTCTGCTGCTCTGCCAAGGTGGAGATATCTCTACCTCTCAGGCAGAAGGAGGGCTGCTTAGACAGACGAAGTGTGAGTAGAACCAGACGTTAAATAACATCCTCTCTGATACTTTTCAACATCAATTTATTTCAATTAAAGAATTTACACTCACCCTCTGTAGATTTTACTGAACATGTTTTTCACGCTTCCCTTCAGATTTACTTTACAGATTCAGCAAATGTGTCATTTATTGAGGTAACTTAATATTTCAGATACATTTTTAAATAGATAAAAATAAACTTAACTATTTAGATGTAAGACAAAAAAACAACACTGATATTTAACTAACAAAAAAGCATCTCCGTCTCAAGACACAAAACTCGACTCATCACGGCTTCATCCGTTTTCTTTTATTATAGGTTCATATTAAACAACTTAAATCATCTTTGCAATATCAAATAAAAGAAACACTTTCCCAAGACCATCAGTCGTGATTTAAGCTAAATATTTAAAGTGGAATAAATAATTATCTTTCTTAAGAAATAATTTTGTTGTACACTTCAGATTTTGTGATTTAAGCAAGTTCATAATTGTAGCAGCACAGCAAAGACGAACTAATGGGACTTCAAATTTAACCAGTTTCAAAAAAGAAACCATTTTTGTCCCTGTCTAGTTTTTGTAATTAATAAAGAAAATAGTAATAAAATGCAACAATAGTGGGAATTTCTCGTGAAGAAATGAATTTGTTGTGAGGAGCGTTTTGCATCGTTGAAGTCTGTGAGCTCATCTGAAACAAATGTTCAAGTGAAGTTACACTTTAAAGAGGCTTCAGGTTTACACTTAGATGACAATGAATTAGAAATATGTATTTTAAAAGTTCAAACAACACTTTGTAGCTTATTTGTTGTTGTTTTTTTAATCTTTTTGTTAGCTAGTTGTTAACTGTCTCACTGGTTAATGCTCCTTACTCTAACACCATTAAAGAGCGTGCTCAGTAACAACTGGATTTGTCAGGTGTGGGGACGGCTGTGGATAAGTGGTTAGAGCAGTTGTCCTCCAATGCAAGAGTTGGGGGTTCAATTCCACCAGTAGTCCCATACCATAGTGTCCCCCTCATTGTCTCCGATGTTTGTCCAATCGGTGAATAAATGTGATAAAGCACTGATTAATCTTTGTACAGCTCTATTAGAGTGCTGTATGAATGAGTAAATGAGGACACAGATTGTAGTGTAAAGCACTTTGAGTATCTTGATAAGATAGAAAGGTGCTATATGAGTACAGTCCATTTACCATTTGTGCCTTAAGTGATTACAGTGCTAAAAAAAAAAATCAAAGGCACTAACAAAGCAGAGTGCTTGAAATTAAATTACAGCTACGACACTTGAGGAGAAGCGACAGCAAAACAAAATGACTGCAGGAACAACCCAGATGGATGGAGCTCTTTGGTTCTGCTCACCACTGCAGAGACCTTCGAATTTACAGGACACATCTTTTATTAGGTGATAAAGAACAGTTGGATTCTGGTAATGGTGGGCTTTGTTACATCTCTTCAGTCAAGAAAACAAACAAGTGTGTGGAAGCCATAAAATGAACAAATAAAAATGCACTAAACGATTTGAGAGCTGCAGATGAAATTATAGCTCAGATGTTCTCTGAAACCAGGTGGCTGAGTCAACATGACCAAATAAAACTGACAAGTTTGCACTCTTTATCTTTTGTCATTTTAACAAGTCGTGAGAAAATCTACTTTTTTAATACATCTAAATTTACCAAGCAGCTACTTAGAAGCATCACCCAAAGATGGCATTGATTCTCAACAGGCTATAATGGGTCTGAACCCAAAGCAGAAAACCTTTTGTGCTGAGATATCCATTAGCTGTTTGTCATATGTGCCTCACCTGCCGCACCTTTAGACCGACTGAATCCAGCCCTCTTGGCTAAACAGAATGTAACCTGCAGCAGGCACAGTCCTCATTAGCTCCAACAGGAGCAGACACACCAGCTTCAGTCCAGCACAGTTCTTAATTCTTTGGTGGTAAACTGTTCTGGATCTTTGTGGGGAGGATTGGTCCTGAAAGGATCGAGGTAGGCTGATTCCATTTTTTATGACATTTTCTCCAACTGTTTATATAGCCTGTTTTGTGATGGGGACAGTTTAAATATGTCATTATCTTGAAATAAAATAACTTTATTCTTTGAGAAAACAGGTTTGCTTAGCTGCACTTGTCACAAGTGTCATGAGAATAAAATTTAAATTTTTGCATCATCATCATCATCATCTTGCAGTCATAAAAATTAGGATTTTGAGATAAGTTGTATTATTTGGGGATAATCAGTCTTACATAATCTCCTAAATGGAACAAATGCCTGATGGTTTATTGCTCCAAAAACACATTTCACAAAATATTTTCGTTGAGATTTTGAAGTTTTGTTGAACAATGTAATCCTCTGAAAATGAAGTATAGATTTGTTGTTTATTTGAGTAAATTTATTTTACCAGTCAGTGTGTGTGAAGCTGTAAAAATCCTTTGCAGTTTGGGTCCTGAGGCTCTCGAAAACCTGCGGCGCGACAGGCTCAGGATTCAGCTGTGCGTTTGTGCGCTTGTGCGTTTGCGCGTTAATTCCTGGCCAGCTTTCCAGTGGCTCGCTGTCACTTCCAGTTACTGGTGATTCCTTTAGATTTCCCCCAACTGTGATGATGGCTCTTTAATGGAAAGCTGCTCTCTCCTCCCCAACGCAGACACGCAGAGAAAGGGAGAGCGAGAGAGCGTGAGGAGGGGTGGCACGCTAAGCGAGTGTCCAGATAGACCTTTGTGGTTGTCTCGACAGGGAACACTTCGTACGGGACGATTTGTTTCCATTCAGATGACAGAATGAGTAAACAATGAGGGATTGAGGATACTGGCTAAACTGGAGGTTTACGTTCATTAAACCAGGTGAGACTTAACGTTTTAGGACTAAATGAAGCATAAAATAGATTAATAATAACTCGCTAATCATGTTTAAGTACTACTAATAATTTATTTGTGTTTTCAATTTTTGTTTATGAGAAGAGAAAACATAAATATGTGACCTTATTTGTGAAAAAAAAAAGATTTTTTTTTCTTTTGCTCTTCAAAATCATTATTTAAAATCTTTCTGAGTTTATGTGCGGCTTCATTTTCAAAAGAACCAACACAAAAAAGATAACGACTAGTTTGTGTTCACCACACAAACAGGTCAACGAAAGCTGATCGAAGTAACTTTATTAAGAGAGTTTATTTATGAAATGCAGTTGATTTTTCTCCTGCACCTACAAATTTGTTCCCTCTTGTCATCCGCTGACTAAAGCTCATTTTCCGTTAGTTGTCTCGTGGCGCTCAGTCGTTTCCACTTCATGAACAGATTCAAAACCACTTCCTTCAGAGCAGAATTAATTTCAGTGAAACTGATGAAACCCCGTGTTGTTGGATAAGAAGAGCAAGGAGGGCTGACAAGTTCTGCGATGCTTTTATTTATTTAATTTTTTGTCAGAAAAGGTGCCAACTCTTCTAATTTTGTGCTGAATAAAGGATAAAACCTTTTGTTTTGTTGTCTGTTTGACACCTTTTCTAAAACAAATACTGGAACCTCTTACATTTAAAATAAATAGAGAGAGAGAGAGTAAAATGAAATATACTTTTGCTTCATTAAAATATATTCACAGAGTCCTTGCTTGTAGTCCGACCATCTACCAGCTTTTCAGAAAGGAGAACGCTCACCTTCTAATCCAAGCTCATGTCAGATGTTACTAATTCAGCCGTGGCCTAATGAAAAACCCATCTTAAGCTGCAGCACAAACTCAAAAAGTATAAATTAATTTGCCAGCCTCAGAAAACAAATGTATTCCTAACGATCGTTCTGACCCCCATCATTGTTCAACATGCTGCAGGCCAGCTTTGTTACCCGCTTCGCTGGATGAAATATTTAACACTGAAATGCCACCTCTTCTCCTCTTCAGTGCATCTCTCTGTTTCTGTCTCCCGTCCTCCCATCTTTCTAGCTGGCCTCACTCGTCTGCTCTCTCCCTTTGTCTGCAGGCACAAAATCCTTCAACATGATGTCCCCCACCGGTGACAACTCCGAGCTGCTGGCAGAGATCAAAGCAGGAAAGAGTCTCAAGCCCACGCCACACAGTAAAGGCTACACCACCGTATTTTCCAACAGCGGACCCACGGGCAACAATGTAAGCTGATGTAATGGAAAGGGCAGTGGCACATGTAGAAATATAATTAGTTCATTACTTGTTGTCATGCTAATGTGTTTATGCTGCTCATAAGGGTTGACAAGAGCTTGAATTAAGCCAAAAGAAATTAAAAGTAAGAAAAAAAACTTTATCAAACAAACTTAAACAAGGAATTGATTTCTCAATGTCTAGGAGATGCTTTTTGACCTTCACTGCATTAAGTCAAAACTTAATTTGCACACGATGTGGATTATCCATCAAACCATCAATCCATTACCTTTTACCCGCTTCTTCTTTTTCGGGTAATGGGGTCACTTTTGCCCGTATCCAGCAGACGCCATGCAAGAGGTGGGGGACATCCTGGACAGGTCTCCTTCCATCACAGGGACACATAAGCCCCTTTTCCATATCTCCTCTTCAGCACGACTCGACTCAGTTCGGTACACTTCCGAGCCGTTTTCCACTATCACTTTTTTCGTGGAATCGGCACCTTTTTTGGTCCTTTCTTCTCTGGGATACCAATCGAGCCAAGCCGGCACCAAAACGTGAGGTCAGAGCACTGTTGGTCACTGATTGGTCAAGGGGTGGAGTCACTGGCTGTTGAGAAACTTTTCACATCAACAAGATCTGCCATTTGCAATTACCAGTGTTTGACCTTGAGGAGCGGCTGGACCTATTTTAAAGATTTGTAAAACAATAATGACAACACCATGGTCTAATGCTGAAGTGCAGGTGTTTTTTTGTGCTTGGTGGCCGATGACAAAAATCAGAGTGAGCTAGATGGAGCTCTGCCACTCTCTCTGGTCAACCGGAGCTTCAGAGCCCCCTCAGGCCGGGCAGTGTGTCATCTCCCCAGCTCCAAACTCTGAACAAGAATTAAACTTTAAAGCAAAGCTAAAAAATTTAAAAAATGTAAAAAAATCTGAAAAAGAACCAAAACTTAATATCTAAATTGAACAATAAAAATAGATACGAGTGCAAATACATCAAATGATGAAGAAAAGGTATAAAATTTTAAATATAGATGTTTCTGTAGAATCTGGTTCAGCAGATGTTTAATGGTGAACTACAGTTCATTAAAAGCTTATTAGCAGGATTTATA